TATATATATGTATATGTATATGTATATGTATAAAATGCGTTTAACCGTATATAATTAGCATATAATTTATGTATATCGGATTTACCGTTTACATTTTATTTTCAAAATTTAATGACGAGAATAACTAAATACATATCTATTCTAGTTTTGTTTTTCATGCGTGAAACTAAAAACAAATGAAGATGAAATTACCGTGATAAATCCATGTCTTAGGGTTAAGTAATCAACTTTTGGGACAGATCTTACGAATTGTCTGAAGAAACAAATCTGCAAAAAAGGCCAAGTGAAAATTAAGAAAAAAAAGAATATCTAGCTTATTATCTTGTTTTAATTAGGCTTGTGGGGGCAGCCTGAAACAGAGAAACGAAAGTGATGGAGATGCAGAGGCAGAGCTACAATCTAACTACCGGTTAAATATATAGAAATTTTACTTAGAATCCAATAAACTTTTTTTTTTTTTTAAATATAGAATCCATCAACTCAAATTCTGGATTGTTTCTGTGGAGACGGCCAAGTCGCCTAAGTCTGACTACAATTTTTATAAATTTTGAGAGCAAATGTAATTTGTGTATACAGTGCATCAGATGTGAACATCAACCAAAGGTATTCGGAAACGACTAGTTAAAAGAAATTTCAACCAAAAGATAAAAAGTTACAGGAAACTTGCTTTTACGAGGTATATTTTTCATGTATTTGAAGTCAAAGTCAAACTAAGTTGCTTCTTGAAAAAGTAAGGATAATTGAAAAATATAGCAATTATTCATTGAATAATCCTAGGCTATCTAATACTGTATAATGTTCTCTCTTTCCATGTCTGTAAGTTTCTTAAACAATTAAACCCATAAAGTTTGGGGTAAACGTCTATATTTGTCATTTAATAATTCTTGACCTTTCATTTAACATCAATAAACAAGACCTTTATCATTAAATATTTAGGTAAAAAGGATCTAGGATTATTCCATACAGATGTTTAAAGAAAGTATATTTTTAATCTGAATAGCTGCAAACTCAATCGTTTAAATTAAAATAATCAACAAATATATAATATACACGTGTAATTCATGTGTAATATAATCGTATATTGCCCAAAAAGGATATAATTAATATACTCTAATATTGTAAAGAATATTTCATTATCTTTACTTATTTGATTTGTTAACCGTTGTTATCTTTTTAGGCATGATTTGACAATGTAAAACTTTTTCTATCCATTGTCAACGTATAATAAAGAAGTTAAACTCAAAAAAAAAAAAAAAACAGAGAAAAAGAAAAAGTAATGGAGATTAAAATATGCTTACAATCCAAAGTAGGACAGGATTTTTGGTCCAAAAACTCAAGTGCCTTCTCCCAAACGATGTCTCTCGTGTAAACCGAAACCTCTCAGGATCTGTCATTCATGTAAGATAACGTCAATGTCAGATTTAACTTTTTCTAGATTCTTTTAATTTTCTAAATGTACGTGAAAAAGACATAAAATATTTTCTATTCACATATGAACGTTAAAAAGAAATTGAGTTTTCTTTTACCGTGAGTAAAATGGTACTCAGCTGTTTTGGTTTCGTTTTCCCATGATTTCCAACTTCTCATCTGAAAATTAAACAAATTCAGAAAGAAAAAAAAAAGTGAAACGAATTTGAAAGAGACTTTTCTTCAATTGATTTTTTGGTCTTTTACATACGAGAGATTTACTTTTACACATAAGAGATCTAAAAAAGATATTTTCTTAAATTCAACGTTATAAAAAGCCAAGAAGACCTAAAACCTAGTATTCTTTTTAAGGCTTACGATATTTAAAAAGTGTAAATAATAAAGTACCTTAGCATTTCCCAAAGCCAAAGTGAGAATACAATAGAGAACGTGAAAAACAGCCAGCACAAAGATGAAAATGTGTAGTTGATGAATACCATCGGCAGACACAAATGGTACTTTTCCCTGAAAAAAATAAAGTAGAAAGAATTTATGTTCTGTTCAAAGTAAACACGTTGTGCATTTTTTAACAAGTAACTTTTTTATTTATTATAAATATTAATTACTAATCAAAAAAGAATAATAAGTTACTTATTAACTATAACAAGCTGTTAAGCAATATTGATAATATAATCTCTTTTTCATTGTATCAGTGTACATAACTTAAATTTTTAAAAGAAAAACATCCTGGGAAAATTTTTCTTATAAAAAAAAAAAAAGATTTTCATTTATATCTTGTACGAATGATTGAATATGCTAATCATTCAAGATTTCTCTCATATGTTTTAAATTGTTCAAAGTTGGTAATAATTACTAGAATGAAAAAACAAAAAGGAAATTGAACAACAAAATAGTCATGCCTTGGCTGCGCATTTGTCCTCTCCACCACCAGCCAAAATTCGCCGAACGCTCCCGCCGGCAGCCGCCATAAGAAGTCTCCGGCGGTGTTGCTCCGACGAATCTTCTGAATTAATGTCTTCACCCTTGATTATGTCTTCTTCTTTCTGCTTACTACATGGATGCCATGAATTTCCAATTTTCTCAGATACACATATGTTGGAAATCGGACTTTGTCCTACTGTTAGCAGCAATGATATGAATCCCAGCAGCATTAGCTCTTCAAAAAAAAAAAGGAATTATGGTTAATTAACTTGAAAATTAGCATAAAATGGTGACCAGCAGTGGCGATCCAACCATGGGTTTGCGAGTTCGGCAAAATCAACGTTTCGAGGTTATAAAACAAGCATATAGAGAGAGCTAGATATGCGTTTCAGAAATGATGGTGTTTGAATTTTGAATCTGTCACTGATCACAGTTACTACAAAATAGGCTAAAATTTAAAGGAAAGAACCTGCTTTGATCTTTTCAAGTGCTTCAAACAAGGCTCTTTTCTTTTTAGACTTGAACCACTGCAATAAAAAAGAAATAAAAGGAGTGAAGAAGTGTAATTAAAGATTTATGGCATTTTATTCTGAAATGTTGCATGATAAAGTATACCTTTCCAATTAGATGGATGATGTGTTCTATGACAATGGAAATTGCAACTAACACAAAACAAACTGCGGCAACCGCCCACGTCGGCGTTTGCTCCAACGATCTTCCACCTCCACTACCAGCCATCTTTTCTGTTTCGCCGTCTTTAAAAAAAAAACCTGAAACTTCTTCCTTAAGATTGCCTTATAAAGTACTTATAAGAGAGAAATAATAATAAAACCAAGAAAAAAGACGAGCTAGTTTGTCGAAATTAATAATCGAACACAATAAATGCTGCAGGCAATTTATTGCAGTGACATAAGAGAAAAGTGCAAAGAAGAATCCTAGTAAGGAGTACAATATGTGGGAACAATAAGGATTCAATTGCTGGGGATTAATGGCAAATGAAATAAGAGAAAAATTGCAAAGAAGAATATTAGGAATGAGTATACGAGGGAAGAATGGTTCAATCAATTAGTGAATTTTTATATAAGTGGTCGTGAAGAGAAGAGGCAGCAGGCAGAGAAATGACTGAATGAGGTGGATGGCTTTGACTTCATTGCCGCGTGAGAGAAACAAAGAACTTTCTACTGTGTCCCATGTATGCATTCGGTCTTGATTAAATATGAATTCGCGATGCAAAATTTTAGATTGGGAATAAAGTATTTCCTAACAAATATCACTTTATATTTAAATTTCAAATCCGAAATCATTAGTACTTAACATTTATCTCTGAGTTATATTGACTTTATCAAACTATACGATTTTCAGACTATTTTAATGTCCAAACATGATTTCAGTTCATTCACGTTGTTATATATAATTAGGCTTAGATAAGTACTGCTCAATATAATTATCTAGTCATCATGCATATGCAGATTTCTTTGAGTCTCTCTAATAAGTAACGTGATTTGATGAAAGAGGAAACAGATTTATATATGAGTTAGTTATGGACTATGGAAATGTATGTAATTTTCTAGGAGTTAACTTACATGTATTTACCGTGTAAAAATATTTTATATTATTCTTATACTCTCCTCGTTTTAATTTATGTGAACTTCCTTTTTAGTCTATGTCAAAAAAATGACCTCTTTCTATATTTGGAAATAGTTTACCTTTATGTAATAATTTATAGTCACACAATATGTGTGCTTCATTTTATACAACAAGTTCAAAAATCTTCTATTTGTTTTTAAACTCCGTGTCCTGTCAAATAGGTCCAAATAAATTAAAACGGATGGCGTATATTTTTGGTACATTGAGAAAGACTAAGTAAACTTCATAAAATATTTCATAAGCTACATTGCTCCGATCCTCCGAGAAAAAAAAAACTCCATTGTCTTAAGCGTATCTTCCCAAGTTAGCAAATTTTCTTCTTGTCTATGACCTTCTGTTTATCCCAAAAATGAGTAACAATTAAATTTGTACGTAATTTTAAAGATATGTGATTTAATTCAATACGAATAATTAAGAACAACAGGTATATAGGTTAAAAGTATAATAAATGATCAAACCAATCGCAATGTGATGACCAAGCATGATCTTAGGTTGAACAATGGAATTCGTCCTCGATCGGACCTTCGGTACAAGCTCGGTCGCGAATAAGAAGAGAACAAATGAAGAACACTTTGAATAATAACTAGAAGACAAAATTAAAATTTATTGCTTTGATTTGCGTGTCACAATATGTCAGAATAAAGAAAACCTTTCCCTTTATATAGTAGGAGACTTTTAGTCCTAGTACAAGTCTAAATAAGGTAAATATTTTTTTTTTCAGTAAATGTCGATCCGCAGTTGATATCAAACGGGATTCGCGCCGTAATATCCAGTTGAGGGTGAATATTACGGTCCCCTACTCGTCATGCATAATCGTTCTTCGCGTTTCCCGAGGTCCAGAAACTATACTAGGTCTGAGTCCGTTATTTCACTGTGCCCGATCCCAAGTACATCGTTCATTCCTCCTAAATTTTGATATGAGGGTTCCTTGGGCCTCGATTATAATCACGTTGAGCCATGCTTCTCCTTTGTTTCCTCATCGGGGAATCAGGAAAAACTCTACTCCCGATTTTACCTGTACATAGATAGTCCCCTCATTTCTCGGAGAGTAAATTTATCGAAGTGACGGGAAGCGATAAATTAACCTTGGTTCCTTCTTCCGTACACTTCAACTGAGTTGATGGGTCAGTGAAATGACTCATCAGTCTCGTCGTTCTGACTTTGGATATGTGTCAACCGCCAGTTGACCGTCCCCGATTGCGAAACGTCACACATTGAATACTTCTTTTCACCTTTTTACTTTTCAATTCCATAGCTCCTTAATTTACCCTCGAACTCTTCACTTATTCCTAATCCCTTCAAACCTTCATACATTGTTTTCCAGATCTTCATATTTTCATCTTCATACTCCTTCAAATCTTCAAATCTGACCTTCAAATCTTCATCCTCACATTCAAATCTTCATATTTTCCAAAACTCAATGGCGAAGATCTCCAAATTCGTACCTCAACAGACAGTCCCTTCAAATTCCAACCCGGCCAAGAAGAGCTTCATCACCGGGGGTTGCTCTATTGAGAATGACTTCAAAGTCGAGAAAGCCTCCAGCCAACAGGACCGAGGCGAGGGGGCATGAAGGTACATGTGCTCTGTTACCAAGGATACACTCCCTACAATTCGGAAGGACTCCACTAGGAGGGCAAAGAAGTGGTCATCCTTGATCCCGATGAGGATATTACCACTCACGTGGAGGGGTATCTAAGTGTTTATACTTATCCCTTGACTCTCGCCCCGATGGATCCTATAATCCTCAGTTTTTGCAAAAGGCACGAGGTCTGCCTTGGGCATATTCACCTGTCCTTTTGTAGGATCGTAATCCTCCTCCGCCATTTCGTCAACTATACGGAAGCACCTCGATTTACCATTAACTACCTGCTTCCTCTCTCCATGCCCCGAGATTTTCGAGGGGGAGGGGTTGCTCAAGCTCGTTCGTCGAGTAAGTAAAGCTCTATTCTCGAGCCTCGATGAAGATCGGGATCGAGGTTGGCAGGGGAGATTGGTTCGGGTGAAAACCAGAGACCTTATTCCCCCGGAATGTTTACCGTTCTGTGAAAAGTGGAACTCAACCAGTAAGTTTCTTTCCTTCTTGAGTACATGGAATTTCTTTTGTTCTTTTTATAATTCCCTTCTCCTATCATCGTGCAGTGGTCGCCCAAGTTCCTACCACAGTCCCTCGCTTTAAGGAGTGAAACGAAGGGATATGCAAACAATTGTCATATTTTGAGCGCGAATGGCGCAAACTTTCAAAGGGCAAGTAGGAGGTCAGTTCCCATGGTGAGTGTTCTTCCCGAACAAGTCTACCTTTATACCCATCCTTTATTTCTATTAAGTCCTTATAGGTTTGCCCACGACCACTGAGCTTCGGCCACTGGATGAGGATGAAGCTCTGTCCTCACTTGCTAAACCCTCTGCTTCCGGACAACTCAGAATTGCTGCGCATGAGGAGAAAAAGAAGAAAAAGAGAAAATCTTTCGGCTCTCCGGACGCCGAGGTCAAGAAGAAGAGGATAATTGTGTGGGTTCGGAAAAGAAACAAGAGGAGTACCCAAGCCAGGCTACCAGACCCCAACTCCCTCTACCGACTCAAGGATTACTATGAAGATGATGAACTAGAGTCCGTTGCTCATAGGTAAACCATTGACGAAGAAGAATGGGCAGCAACCGGGTTAGGTGACCGAGAGGCCGATCCCTCTTTAGATCTGGAGCCATAAGGAAAGTCCGAGGCTATGGCCTCCTGAGAAACTATCCCTACCACGAAGGAAATAGCCAGTGTCATTGATATCGTGGAGTCACCGCCTCATACATAGTCCATGTTCGACGAGGCTTAGGCCAATAATAAGAAGTCAAATGATATGGCACGACGCGCAGATGAGGCCCTCAACATGTTTTTTGATGGCATGGACATGGGCGTGCTGGAGGATAATTCTGAGTTTGGCCACCTGGAGATCCCGAAAAAGGACCTGTCATCGGAGGCAGGCAAGCCGAGATCGAGCCAGAAGCTGGTGAGGTTGTTCCCTACTCCTAGCGTGGACCCCGACCATAAAAAATAGTTATGTTTACTATCTCGGCGGACACTCAGGTGTTGTCCTCTCCAGTGGGCGTAGCCAGCTACCTTCACTGCCTGGTGACCGAAGGTGACCGGGCAAAGATGAGCAAAGTGAGCACTTCGAGTCTCTTCAATGAAGCACAACAAGCACCGAACTAGGTAAGTTTCCCCTTCCTTGTGCCCTTTGTGAATTTTAATTAACTTTAGTATGTCCTTATGATCTTATCGTTTTGTTTTTCAGGCTTCGGTGCTCAAGGAGTAAGTTCGGCAAAAGGACATGTATTGGGTCCTTAGTGAGCAAAAAGACGAGGCCCTCAAGGATCTCCCTATTCTTTGAACAGAGCTGAAGAATGCTCAAAAGGAAACTTTATCTGTCAAACGGGAGCATGCTGAACTAGTTGATAAGGTAAGAAGTTTTGAGGTTAAATACGAGAGGTTACGCGTAGTGACTAATGACACAACCTCGTAGGTACAAGAGAATATAGACTTGATTTACTAGCTCCGGGCTGAGATGAACGAGCTCAAAGCTTTGGCCAAGATGCTGAGGAGCAGGATGAACCTTCTGGCCTTGAAACATGAGGCTACAAAAGATGATTTGGTATCGGTCAAGGACCGGCTCCAGGTGGCAAGGGATAAGGCTGACAAGTGGTCTAGGCTAAATGACGAACTCCAGGCACAACTAGATTCAGCCGTCTCGGAACTGGATGACCTTGGACGGGAATATACTGTTCTGAAGTCCAAGTTAGAGGCAACCTCGATTGATTCCTCCGAGGTCGAAGAAATGCTGGCCCAGTATAAAACTGATGTGGAAATAGCCGAGACATGTTTAATAATGAAGGCCAAGTATGTAAAGCAGTTGTCCTGGAGGGAGACCCTCAAGGAGATTCATGCTTAGGGATTTGATCTGTCGGTCGAGATTGAAGAGGCTCGAGGCTGAGGCAAAAACTCTTTATGAGCCTGAAGGTCCCAAAGGTTTTGGTGCCGAGTAGAGCTCTAGTGAAGATTAGGCGGAGATCCCTTAGCTCCTTTTTTGTTTCCTTTTTATACATTTTCATTTTTGTTTATTTTGAGGCCTTTTTATCGTGCCTTTGTAAATACCTTTTGAAATATATATATA